TCAATCCCAGGTACCAAAAACAAAAGAATGGCTACAAACTATTTGAATTAATAAGTGATTTCATAAGATTGCTGGATAAGATGCCAAAATACAAAAACCAACTGCAATTTGTTATACAGAAACAAACGCCAGAACTGAAATTTTTAAACAGGAGATTTTTACAAACCAGGCATTGGTGGCACACACCTATAATCCCAGTGACTTGGGAGGCTGAGGCAGGAGGATCAAAAGTTTAAGGCAGCCTGGGCGACTTAACAAGACCCTCAGAAACTCAGTGAGACCCTGTCTCAAAAAAAAAAAAAGAAAAAAAAAGGATAGGGGATGTAGCCCAGTGATAAAGCACCCTAAGTTCAATCCTTAAAACAAAAGATACTAATACAATTGCATCAAAAACTATCAAATAGGGGCTGGGGTTGTGACTCAGCGGTAGAGCATTCACGTAGCATATCTGGGACCCTGGGTTTGGTCCTCAGCACTACGTAAAAATAAATAAATAAAATAAAGATATTGTGCTGTGCCCAAATACAACTAAAAAATAAATATTTATTAAAAAAAATTATCAGGGCTGGGGATGTGGCTCAAGCGGTAGCGCGCTCGCCTGGCATGCGCTGGATGCTGGGTTCGATCCTCAGCACCACATAAAAATAAAGATGTTGTGTCCACCAAAAACTAAAAAATAAATATTAAAAAATTCTCTCTCTCTTTGAAAAAGAAAACCTATCAAATAATAAACTAAATTTTGTCAAAGACATAAAAGGTTTCTATCCAAAAACTATAAAACACTTCTGAAATTAAAAAGGACCTAAATAAATGTAGGGTTATACCATGTACATGAATTGGCATACTCAATATTGTAAAGTTATGAATTCTGTCCAGATTTGTCTGTGCATCCAGTACAAAATAAATTAAAACAGGCATTCCTTTTTAGATGTAAGATGTATCTACATTTTATATTAAATGCAAAGGGCAATAACAACCAAGGTAATCTCTGAAAAAGTGGGAGCCTTTGGAGATGAATATAAAGTCATGATACAAAATCATAAAAGTGGGCTGGGGATGTGGCTCAAGCGGTAGCGCGCTCGCCTGGCATGCGTGCGGCCCGGGTTCGATCCTCAGCACCACATACAAACAAAGATGTTGTGTCTGACTAAAACTAAAAAATGAATATTAAAATTCTCTCTCTCTCTTAAAAAAAACAAAATCATAAAAGTCTCCAATTTTTAAAATATAAAGCTTATATTATAAAACTATGATATTAGCCAGACACAGTGGTGCATGCCTGTAATCCCAGCAGCTCAGGAGGCTGAGACAGGAGGATTGCAAGTTCAAAGTCAACCTCAGCAATGCAAGGCACTAAGCAACTCAGTGAGAACTTGTCTCTAAATAAAATACAAAATAGGACAGGGGATGTGGCTCAGTGGTTGAGTGCCCCTGAGTTCAATCCCTAGTCCCAAAAATAAAATAAAATAAAACTATGATATTATGCAAGGACAGTTGACTGAACACCAAGAGCAAAGCATCCAGAGGCAGAATCTTATGTTTGCACAACTAATTTATGACATCACAGAGCAGTGATGGAAGGATGGTCTTTTCTATAAATGGTACTGGATCAACTGAATACCAATATGGGGAAAAAACATACCTTGATCCCTACGTTGGAGTGTTCACAAAATTGATTCCAGGCTGACTGCAGATCCGAATGTGAAAATTGAAACAATAAAGCTTTTTGAAGAAAATATTCACAATTTGAAGATAGTCAAAGAATTCTTAAAGAACATTAAAAAAAAGTTAGGAGCTGGAGCTATAGCTCAGTGGTAGAGCATGTGACATGCCTAGCATGTGCCATGCCCTGGTTTCAATACCCAGCCCCACAAACAAAACTTAACAAATTTAGCCATATATAGCTGAGAGCAGTGGCAAACACCTGTAATTCCAGTGGCTCAAGAGACTGAGGCAGGAGAATTACTCATTCAAAGCCAGACCCCACACTGTAGCTAAACTATGGAACAAACCTAGATGCCCTTCAACAGGTAAGTGGATAAAGAAAATGTGGTAAATATACACAATGGAATATTACTCAGCCTTAAAGAAGAATGAAATTATGGCATTTCCAGGTAAATGGATGGAGCTGGAGAATATCATGCTAAGCTGAAATAAGCCAAACCCAAAAAACCAAAGGCCAAATTTCTTCTCTGATAAGTGGATGTTAATCCATAATTGGGGAGGGGGTAGGGAAGAATGAAGGAACTTTGGATTATGCAGAGGGGATTTAAGGGAGGGGAGGGGTGTAGGATTGGGAAGGACAGTGGATTGAGATGGACATTATTACCCTATATACATTTATAATTACACTACTGGTGTGACTCTGCACCATGTTCAGCCAGAGAAAGAAGTTGTGCTTGATTTGTGTACCATGTGTCAAAATGCATTCTACTGTCATGTATAACTAGTTAGAAGAAATTTTAAAATAAAATAAAAACAAAGCCAGCCTCAGCAACTTAGTAAGGCCCTAAGCAACTCAGCAAGAACCTGTCTCAAAATAAAAAATGGCTGGGGATGTGGCTCAATAGTTAAGCTCCATTGGGATCAATTCCTGGTACCACCCCACCCCCCAAATTAGCCTTATAGGGAAAAGTTCATAAATCTATTAAAATTAGCACCTAATATTCACAATTTAAAATGAAAAGATAAGCCACAGACTAGGGAGGTTATTCACTATTCACATATCTCATAAGGACTCTTATGGACTCACATCCAAAAGGCTAATAGAGATCCTACAAGAAAAAAAATAAATAAAAAGATATCCAAATAGGAAGAAAAAAAGGTAAAACATCAAAATAGACTTCACTAAATAACAATAAACATGTAAAAAGAGAAAGTTCTTAACTGTGGTATCAATGAGGGAAATACAATTAGAACCTCAACACTATACCACTACCTACCTACTAGAATGGCTAAAATTAAGAAGACACACAATGCCAAAAGTTACCAAGGAGTTTAAATCAGTACAACCGCTATGGAACACTAATAGCATCTTCTTAAGCTGAACTAAAATAAATTTCATGACCCTGCAATTCCATTCTTCCATATACATTAGTGTATGTTTCCTTAAAGATATGTATTTTTGTAACATTCATGGGTACGTTCTAATAGCTCCAAAATGGAAATAACCAAATGTTCATCAACAGAATGGATAGATCGTGGAATATTTACACAGTGAAATACTATATAACAACGAGAATAAAAGAACTACATCTGCATACAAACATAACATCAAGAAGATAGTAAGGTACAATTTCATTTTCATAAATGCAAAACTAGGTGAAATCAATCTATACAACATGTCGGGATAATGTTTACTCTTGGGGCAGGGGTGGTAAAGACAAAAGAAGGGTTTCTGGATTGTGGCACTGTCCATTGCTTGGTTGTGTTCAGTTTGTACTCTTTTGTTTGTATACCATACTTGAATAAAAAGTCAAAAAATAATCAACTCCAAATGGACTGGAAACCTAAGTGGGAAAGATAAAACAATCCTTTAGTAGATAATCCTTTAGTAGAAAAATATGTTAAGGTAAGGGAAGATTTCTTAAAGACAAACACACATATACATACACTATTCACTAACCCTAAAGGAACTGATAAATTGGACTACATAAAAAATAAGAACTTCTAATCATCAAATATCATTGGGAGAAAAGGCAAGCCACTGAGTGTGTTCATATCTAAAATATTAAGAAAATTCACAGTCTTTTATGGGCACCTGATAAAAGACTATATCAGAACACACAGGAGGGTTCTCAGCCTTCATTAGATATTAAAAGAAAAGCAAACTAAAGCAATAGTACTATACTTCTATGCAGCCAACATCAGAATCACTAAAATTACAGGCTGGGAATGCCAAGGAGGCTAAGGATGGAAGCCATAAATTCTCGTACACATCACTAGAATGTGTAAATTATTTCATCCTTTTAGCATCTGTTAGGCTTTACCTTCTGGGGCTACCATACACTATGTCCCAGCAATTCCATGGAGGGGAGAAACTCATACACAAGTGCATCAGATCCACGTACCAGAAAATTCACAGCAGCATTATTCAGAAAACACGAAATTGGAAACAACACTAATGTCCATCAACAGAAGAATGGTTAAATTACATTATGATAAATATTCTTTACAGCAGTGAAATAAAACCAGCCTTCTCTATATGCGACTCAGGTGGATTCCAGACATAATATCAAAGAAACAGACAAATAAAAACATACTTCATGATTTTATTTATAGTAAAAGCAAATGAAACTAATATGTGGTGTTAGGTTCGCGGTTGCCTTTGGGAACCGATAAGGCTTTCAGAATAGTGTAGAATAGTGTGTGTGTGGGGGGGGGGGGGGGGGGGGGGGGCCCGGTGGGGAGGGGGGGGGGGGGGGGGGGGGGGGGGGGGGAGGGGGGGGTGTCGGACCCTACTGGCGACAACGTGGGTGTATGCTTCGTCACGTGGTCGACTTCTGTCGTGCACAGTTTGCTGTGTGTCCTTCTTCAGTGTGGATGTTTAAATGTCTACAGATCGCAAGTCTCTCGGCAAACCCGAGCGTCGCGGGTGCCAGCTCGGGTGTGCGGGGCGGTGGGGCGGTCCCAGCAGCTGCCCGAAACGTGTGACCTGGCCGCGGTCCTCACGTTGCAGCCAGAGGTCCACAACCTAAGCCCAGGACAGGAATTTGAAGTCCGGGACCATTCGCTAATTCCTACAGGTCCTCGCTTCTCCCGGTTGGAGAGAGGACGGTCAGCTTTCCCTCCCACCTCAAGCTGCAGTGATGTGTAAGAAAACTCCACTTGGGTGTTTGCACTTTTTGCTTAACTTTTGGCCACAAATGCTATATATCAGGAACTCTCCAGACGCCAAACATGCCCAGCAAAGAACTCAGAGACGTTCTCAACACTCGCGCCAAGACCCTGGCCGCCTGGTGCTTTGAGGCTGGGCGCAGGGTGGATGTGGTTCTTTCGATTGCTTCGGCCTGGTGGTCGAGCTGCGCGCGCACGCGGCGGCTGCGACTGGTGCTGCCTGGCGGCGGAGCGCGGTGCACGCTGGGACTTCTCGCTGGCGGGCGGCTGCGGGCGGCTGCGGGCGGGCGGCTACGGAAAAGGAGCTGGAGACGGCAGGATGGTGAAGCTGACGGCGGAGCTGATCGAGCAAGCGGCGCAGTACACCAATGCTGTACGGGACCGCGAGCTGGACCTCCGGGGTGAGTCGGGATCAGCGGAAGGGCTCTCCCGGGCCTCAGCGCGTGGCCTTGAGGTCCGCGCCCGGCCGCGTGCGCGGTGGCTGGAGCTTGGCCCGCGAGCCTGCAGTGTGGACTCCCAGTCGTGGTTGCCTCTTGCCGTTGTTGCCCAACGATCTTGCCGTTAGGCTCCTCAGAGTCTTATGTTGTCCCGCTCCTACTCACAGGCTTGACCGTCTTAATTACTTCCTGATCAGTACTCTGTTAGGCCTTGCCTGGCGTGTGCCGCAGTCTGAGCTGTTTTAGAGCCAGGAAAATAGGCTCGTTAATAGTTGTAACTAGAGCAGGGTGACAATGTTGGTTCTTTGTAAATAGTTAATAGATATTGTGGATTAGATATGTTAATGACATTTGGGGGAGGAAGGAAGTTTGGTTACAAGTTAAACAAAAAAACGGGAGTGCGGGTAGCTACTTGTTAGTTTTTTAGGATACGGTCTTAGAAAGGGTGTAAAGAGCGCATTGGCTCAAGCCTGTAATATCAGATACTCTGGAAAATTGTAAAGACCAATTTCTCCGGGGTAAAATAATGTGTGATCACAGTCTGAGACACCAAGGTCAGAGTGCCACTGCTGCCACCTCTGCTTTGTGCTAATATTCCTTGCTAACCTTTAGGAAATCCCGGTTCTTTTTATTTTGTTGAAATTTAAATTTCTCAGTGGCATGGTGGCAAACGTCTGTAAACCCAGACACTTGGGAGACTGAGACAGGAGGGTAGCAAGTTCAGTGCCAGTCTTGGCAACATAATGAGACCTTTAAAAACTTAGACTGAGCGTGTGTGTGGTTCGGTGGTTCAATTCCCAGGACCAAGAAGGAGAAATTAAAGTTTCTCAAAAAAAAAAAAAAAAGGCCACATTCAAGAGAATCTCATCACTTTTACTCTTGGCACTATTTGAACCACTTGCAGTATCTTATTTTGGTGCAGTACTTACTTTGATATAGCCTTTACCGCTCCCGACTCTGTACTTTAACCTGGTTTGTGTTTCTTTTCTGCATTTAGCACCTAGTTCAGTAATTATGCCCAAATTACACAAATCAGTTGAATTTGTTCACACTGTGGTTTACTAGTTGTGTATAAAATGTTGACTTTGAACTCAGAATTGGAGCTAAAGGAGGTCACAAGGGAAAACTGTCATGATATCATGAGGATGTGTGGATGAGTTCTATGAATATGGCCTGTGGGAATGCAAGAGATTGAGAACTGTTCTTCCCAAATTCCGAATAAGGCTTGGGCATTGATAATTAGCAAGTGTCAGTTTTTCTTATACTGCTTAATTAGCTCTAAAGCCTAAGAACAGTGAAATATCTTGTAAATGTTCTTATAAACATTAGTTACCAAGACTACCCAGGATGAATAGCCCCATCATCTTAGTCTTGTTCTCAGCATTTTCAAGTCCACTGCCAGACCATAAGCTTCAGGGCACTGGGGGCTTGTGACTTTACCTCATTTATTTTCAGTACCTTGCAGAGTGTTTGACATGGCATAGGGGATAGGTAACTATTTCCTGAATAAATGAAAGTTTTGAGGTAATTACCATGAAATACTGATACTATTTTAATGAACTTTCAAATCACATTACATTAATAATCTCTTATGTGGTTTCTCCCCCCTCCATTTTTAGGATATAAAATTCCAGTCATTGAAAATCTAGGTGCTACCTTAGACCAGTTTGATGCTATTGATTTTTCTGACAATGAGATCAGGAAGTTGGATGGTTTTCCTTTGCTAAGAAGACTGAAGACATTATTAGTGAACAACAACAGAATATGGTAAGTGTCTGCTAAGAGAGTGATATATTTTTTTTCCCCTCTAGAGTAAATGTTTTGGTGTACCTGGAAGAAATTGTAATACATACTGCCAGTTAAACCTACATGTTTCTTCCTAACAACAACAAAACAGTAACACTTTTCCCATTGAGATCCAGAGATTACTTTGGCAGTGATCTAGGTTATGTGTACCTATTCAGAAATCTTATATGTTTGTATATTTGTAATCTTCCATCATACTGCTTTATACATGTTTTAGTTTCTAAAGCAGAGCAGTCATATTTAAAAGTATATACAAAACCCAGTTATATTTTTCACTAATCATCTGTACCTCTTACCTTCTACTGTTTGTTTTTCTTTACAACCAATTTCTAAAATAAAACTTATTAAAATTGAGATCTTTTTTGACCCTCCCTTCATCAGCTTTATGCAAATTTTATTGGGAAAAAATATAATGTTTTTATAAAGAAGTACAAAGTCTTGAGTTGTTGTTTTTTAAGCTAGAAATAGTTTTCATGGGTTAACCATTCCCTTGTGGAATGATTATATCTTGTACCTGAGCTGTGAATGCAGTCACTAGTGTGTCCATGCTTCCTGAACCAAAAAGTAGTTATGAAGCAAGCTAAATAGTTTATTCTAACTGGAATTCTCAACCTTTTTAGGTTCTTCTGGACAGTATGGCGTTAGAAAGAGGGCTTGGGAGACTTAGGTTCTAAAATCATCCCATTCCTGTCACTGGTCTTGTGACCTCAGACAGGGTTTCCTCTTTGTGCTTCATTTCTCTTTTGTGAGATAGGGCATGATGGAAGGATTTCTAAGGTTGTTCGAACTTGAGGTCTGAGATCCTCTGAGCAAGGACAGGGATGAAATTATTAGTTTGTTAATTTTCACTTTCAATAAGAGACTTTCTGTTTTTATTTTAGCCGTATAGGTGAGGGACTTGATCAGGCTCTGCCCTGTCTGACAGAACTCATTCTCACCAACAATAGTCTTGTGGAATTGGTAAGTTGAACAGGGGGAAAATGTATTTAGGGGCAGGGTTAAAGGTATTACAAGTTTCTTTTACACTACATGCAAAATATATATATATATATATATTTTTTTTTTTTTTTTTTCCTTGTATCATTTTCTTAATTATTTCAGAATCTGGACCTTTGGGTTATTTTATTTTTATATGGTACCTTTTTGTTGTTACTGTTCTAGGGAGTGAACACAGAGCCTCATATATGCTAGGCAAACTTCCTGGGCTATAAATGTTGCAAATACCTTTTCCTATCCTGGCTTTCCTTTTGACTTTGTTAAAGTATCCTGATGGAAAAGTTCCTAATTGAGTGTAGTCTAATATGTCAATTTTTATTATTAGTACTTCCAGTGTTCTTTTTTTTTAACCTTTATTTTGTTTATTTATTTTTATGTGGTGTTGAGGATCAAACCCAGGGCCTTGCGCATGCCAGGCGAACGCTGTACTGCTGAGCCACAACCCCAGCCCCAGTATTTTCAATGTTCTTATGTCAATTTTATTGTTAATACTTCCAATGTTCTTCTTTTTTTTTTTGTTAATACTTCCAATGTTCTGTTGAAGCTTCCCTTTCTTCTCCCCAGATTATAAAGAAACACCTGCTGCACTGTTTTCTAGAATTGCAATGTTCCATGTGGTACCAGTAGCTACAAGTTCATACTTTGAATTGAGATGTGCAGAACTAGGGCTGGGGATGTGGCTCAAGCGGTGGCGCGCTAGCCTGGCATGCGTGCGGCCCAGGTTCGATCCTCAGCACCACAAACAAACAGGGATGTTGTGTCCGCCGAAAACTAAAAAATAAATATTAAAAAAAATTCTCTCTCACTCTCTTTTAAAAAAAAAAAAAAAAAGAGATGTGCAGAATTATAAAATACATGCCAGGTTTCAAAACACAGTACCAAAAAGGAAAACATAAACTTAGTAGGTTTTTAATACTAACGTTGAAATGATAGTTTTTTGGATAATAGGTAAAACAATATATTATTAATTAGTCTCTCCTGTTTTTCTATTTTAATGTAGGTACTAGAAAATTTTAAATTGCATATCTAACATGTATTAAATTTTATTAATGATTCTATCCTAGAAACTTTATTGCTTTGCTCTTCGAATTAGATGAACAATCCGCCTGCAACTGATTTCCTTATGAGATAACAGGCAAATTTCAGTTTTACTTTATAGATAACAATGATTTGGGCCCTTTTTTATGCCCTTAAAATTTCCATTCTGGCTGGGTGTGTTGTTACACATGTATAATCCCAGCATCTCAGTAGTCTGAGGCAGTATAATCACAAATTCAAGCTCGAAATAAATAAATAAAATAAGTGAAATGGTCTGGGGATATAGCTCAGTGGTAGACCACCAGGGGTTCAATCTCTAATATCACATAAAGTAATTTTAAAAAAATCTGTTCTACATGTTTAATTTTTAACAAAATTGAGTTCATATTGAGTTATCCTGATTTGTAACCTGAATTTTCCACATTAACACTGAATGTTTAAATTCATATTACATAGTTTGATTTTGGATTACTAAGATTTTGTCTGCCTTCTCTATTTTCCTTATTGTTTAGAATGAACTGTCAGATTTTCAAAGGGGTATTTAACTCCAATAGTAGGAATGGACTGGCTTGAAGTCGTGTGCTTTCCAAAATCGGAAGTACTTAGCCCAGAATGCATGTTCATAGCAAATGCTATTTGAGAAGTTATGGTTGTATTTGAAGTTTATTGCAAAGATAAAAACCCCGTTCCTATGAGTTACAGAAAAAGGTGTGTTCAAGTCTCACATCAGTGATAGAGGATTTGACTACCTGCCTGGATTTCTGTCAGTCTTAGTTTTACATGTACTTTCCCAAACAATACAGTATAGTGACCTAAAACATTTCAGCAATTCCATAACTTCTTGTGTATTTAGTCTTTTTAAAACTCATTAATACATCATCATTGTGTTTTATTGTATATGTGTAACAAACCTCGTTTTGTATTTCTTTTTGGATCATCTGTGGTGCTATGCCAGTATCAAGCTCAAGAGGTCCCTCTGGTGGTGTTTGTGAAGTAAAGATGAATGCTTGCTTTTTTGATAAGTGGCTGTGTTCCCTTTTGCTTTTGGAAGTTAGTTCCTTGTTTTAATATGGACCTCTTCCAGATTTTGTATATCATTCTTGTCCGGGCCATGCTAATCCCTATATCCTTCCAGTTATCGTATATGTGCTACAAAAGTAAACACTCTCCTGTTTTTATCAGTACTTCTTTTTACTGTCCCTCTTGGCAGCCCTGTTTACTAAATTTTGATCTGTTTTTAGCAGTTTTTTTCCTCAGTGTAAGGCTTTGTTCTGGAAGGGAAACAATTTCTGGTTAGTGTTTAGAGGGCCTAGATTGCTGTAATCCATTAGACCTTCTCATAGACTTGTACTCATTATTGGAATGTTCAGATCCTTGGACTGTTCTCAAACTAAGTACCTATTGGTTGTTTTGGAGTTCTCCAGTTTAAGAGATGCCTCTTTGTCTTCCCTCTGCTTCTTTCTACACAAATGATGTCACCGTGCAAGTCTCTTTTTTTTTTTTTTATCTTTATTTTTATTTATTTAATTTTATGTGGTGGTGAGGATCAACCCAGGGTATCATGCATGAGAGGCAAGTGCTCTACCACTGAGCCACAACCCAGCCCACATACAAGTCTTGAAGCTTTCAAGTTGTTGTCCGTACTTATTTCGCTTGTAGGGTCATTGGAAATATCTTCTCATCTACTTTATTTGTCACTATTGACAATAAGTTTTTGGTTTTTCTGTCCTCATTCAACTGTGGTTTATGGGACAATTTGGGCAGATTCAAAAACCATCCTGCCTTCTTACCATAATTTGGTGGGGGTTTTGTTTGTTTTTAACTATTCTGTTCACTTTGTGAAAAATTATTTGAAGAGATTTGGGGAGGCCTAGAATAAAGGTGTCTTTTCGCAAAGACCATATGTTGTTCCCAGGCACTTGGGGGAGGTACTTGCCAAAAAAGACCACATTACACCAAGATTATGGATTGAGATTCCCTGGGTAAATAGCTTGCTCCAAAGTTGCATCAGCTTTAGCATTGCTTTCTTTTCAGAATAATTGCTCAGTAGCCATTTTGAGATTGTCAGAGGAAATCAATTTTTTGTGTATGTCTGCTGCTGTTGACAGAGTTAATGCCAAGATTTTACAAAGCTTGAATTATAAGTATTTAAACATTTGAGATGTGCTAGTATGGGGCTAGGTGCTGGGGTAGTAAGAAATAAAAGACAATATGGATACTTTCTTCAAAATATCAAAATAGACAGCATATGGTATCAGTGTTCTTAATGTGTGCTCCTTATTTTTACAGGGTGATCTGGACCCTTTGGCGTCTCTTAAATCACTGACTTATCTAAGGTATGGAAATTATTTGTTGTGTTAACGAAACTAATGAAGTACTTAAAATTACATTTGACCCTAAAACAGTCAGTCGGTCAGAAAGTACCTTTTAAAAACAAATATAGGGGGCTGGGGTTTTGGCTTAGAGGTAGAGCGCTCACCTAGCGTGCTCCCCTAGCATGTGTGAGGCACTGGGTTCAATCCTCAGCACCACATAAAAATAAAAAAGATACTGTATCCACCTATAACTAAAAAATAAATGTTTAAAAAAAAAATGAGGTGCTAAACAACTCAGTCCCTATCTCTAAATAAAATACAAAATAGGACTGGGGATGTGGCTCAGTGGTTGAGTGTCCCTGAGTTCAATCCCCGGTACTCCCCGCAAAAAAATATAGATAGATAGATGTTTCCTTAATGTAAATAATTTTTTGTCCTTAATTTATTACACTGTTCAAATGGATCTCTTAAACACTAGCCTATGAACAAGATTGGTATTGTGTTGTTCTTTTTCTTGTAGCATTCTAAGAAATCCTGTAACAAATAAGAAGCATTATAGACTGTATGTGATTTATAAAGTCCCACAAGTCAGAGTGCTGGATTTTCAGAAAGTAAAACTAAAAGTAAGTATTCTTTGATTGTAGGTCATTATAGAGTTTTATGTTTTTCTTTATACTTTTGTTACTGACTTTTTAAATTTCCTAATTGAGTACAATTTACCATTAGTTTGCAGTTTAAAATATGGGAAAGAAAATGTTAAGTGAGATTTTTTTTTCCTCATGGTAGGATTTTAAATTAACATTTGCTGTTCCATAGTTGGCAAAATGTTAGAACCACGTCATTGAGTATCTGCTTAAATACGTTCCCACTAAAGATTTTTATCTATTTTTGAGCAACTATTAGCATGACTTACCCCTTATTGGAAGTGGTTCTGTTTTTGCTTTCCTCCCCTTTCCTGGTTCTTTGGGATCCCTCCTTAAAAGGAGGAGAGGGAACTTTCTTCAGGGAGCTTCACCAGAGAAGGCAAGACCACTATCTTCTTTTCAATGAAATTGGCTTTTTGGTATTTTTGCCAGCCCAGAGTATTTCAGGAGAGTTGGCTTCCATGTTTTCTGAGGAATGCATCTAAATGCATGTGGTATTCCTATTTCCATTAACTCTGTGTGTGGTGTTGCTGTAGGAGCGTCAGGAAGCAGAGAAAATGTTCAAGGGCAAACGGGGTGCACAGCTTGCAAAGGATATTGCCAGGAGAAGCAAAACGTAAGATACGGATATCCAACTTAACTCCACTTCACCTTCAGAAACACTGTCTGGCAGTTGGCCTCCTTCAAAATTAAGTCAAAAACTGTGATTGATGTGGTATTAAATTTGAGTGCTGATAGTTTATGGCCATCCATGGTCCATACATTAACAGGTTAGCAGAGAATATATTTCAGTTTGCAGTCTTAATGGGAAATTTTGTACATCCTGTTTTCTCTATAGGAAGATTAATTGGGAGGTGTTTCTGAAGGAGAGAGTTCTTGTATCAGTTTGTTAACAAAGATAAGATACTACACTGGTTGAATTACTTTCAAAAACCTTTGAAAGTAAAAGAGAAGCAACTTCCATTGGGCAGGATTTAACAATTATGTTCTTCCTTCCTAAGTTTTAATCCAGGTGCTGGTTTGCCAACTGACAAAAAGAAAGGTGGGCCATCTCCAGGGGATGTAGAAGCAATCAAGGTAATAATGTTTTGGTATTCTAGAACTGAAGAGAGCTGAGATGTGGTTAGGATATACCATGGTATAGTGAACCACGTTCTGAATGCTGCAGATTCCATAGTTGTTAGACTCCAGCTATATTTCTAGTTGAGGAAAAACTAGCTAAAAGTTATTATTTGACTTGAATTAATTGCATCAGCCAATCAAAGTGGGAAGCATCTGTCTTTCTTGTTTTCCCAGGATGCATTTGTCATTTAAAATAGTTAATTTCTTTGATATGCTTAATAGTTACCAGGGTTTGCCTTAATTTTTTTTTTTTTTAAGATTTTGGTTTTTTAGTTGTAGTTGGACACAATACCTTTATTTTATTTTTATGTGGTGCTGAGGATCGAACCCAGAGCCTTGCACATGCTAGGCGAGCGCTCCACCACTAAGCCCCAGCCTCGGCCCTTGCCTTAATTTTTGCTTTCAAAGATTTGCTAATAGATCCTGTTGAATACTCTGTGGAACATCCTTATTTTATAATACAGCCTCCTAAAGTCCCCAGTAATATAATTCCAATAGGTATTTATCTTAAATTTTAGGATATGTAGAATTATCATTCGTTCTCTTAGAAGAAGGCCTGTTTCCCTTCACTAATTTTGAAAATTTATATGATTGGCTTTTTGATTCAGTATGCGGATAAAATTCTTCCCCTAACACAGAGCTACATCATATTCCATATGAAAAGATACTGTGAATTTCTAGGTGTTTTCCGCGTGGTTGGTACTTTATTGCAACTAATTGTCTATCCGTTTTCCTCTGTCTTCTATCTAGAATGCCATAGCAAATGCATCAACTCTGGCTGAAGTGGAGAGGCTGAAGGGGTTGCTGCAGTCTGGTCAGATACCTGGAAGAGAGCGCAGATCAGGTTAGGGAATGGTGTTATGTGAACTTTTACCCATATGTATAGTCATGCTCCAGATAATGTTTTGGTCAGTGACAGTGCATACATAGCAGTAGTCTCATAATATTATAATAGAGCTGGAAAACTCGTATGCTTAGTATTTTTACTTTATCCTTTCTATGTATAGATAACACAAATACTTACCTTTGCTTTAAAGTTGCCTGTAGTATTCAGAACAGTAACATGTTGTATAGGTTTCTAGCCTAGGAGCAATAGGCTATGCATCATAGAATGGGTATACAATAGGTGATACCATCTAGATTTGCAGGTATACTCTTTGTGCTATTCTGATTCACATAACAACAAAATTACCCAGCTATAAAGTTCTCAGAAGGGATCTTTGTCATTAGGCGAAGCATGGCTATCATATAATATAGTAGTTAGGAACACAGGTCGTAGAACCAAACAGCCTGAGACTTAAATATTAGCCTCATCAGCTCTATCCTTGGGCAAATATGAAGTATATTCCTTCATCTTTAAATCTGAGATGATAATAGTACAAGCTGTTAAAAGTTGTTGGGAGAGTCAGGCCTTGTCCACACCTGTAATCCCAGCTACTCAGAAGGTTAAGACAAGATACTTGTAGGTTTGAGGCCAGCCTGAGCAACTTAGCAAAATCATTCTCAAAATTTAAAAAAAAAAAAGAAAGAAGCCAGGCACTGTGGCACACACCTATAATCCCAGCAGTTCAGAGGCTGAGGCAGGAGGATTATGAGTTCAAAATCAGCCTCAGCAACTTAGCAACTCAGTGAGACACTTTCTTACTAAGTATTTGTGTGACTGAATTTTCTTTATAGCCTTGAGTCAAAACGTGTTAGAACAGATGCACTGTTGAAGTCAATACAGGAGTCTAGTTGACTGTTATTAAGGCAGAAATAATGGGAAAATACCAAATAATGTCACAGAGTGTTTTGTAGTAGAAAATACCATTTCTATAAAAATGCAAACATAAACATGTAATTGATTTACTGTTTTAATAAGTTACTATTCTTTAAAGTTGTTTTAATTTCTGATACCTATCAACAGATATAATCGACATAATCAAAAGATTTTTAAGTCCTCACTCTAAAAGTTTAAGAACTGCTGAATTAGACAGAGGCAGCAGGACATTCTAGGCAGAGGAGACTGCCCTGCCAGAATCCTGTGTAGAAAGGTACACTTGAACTGAGAAAGGGCCAGAGTGAATGAGGCTCACATCTCTGGGAGGATGTGGCCTGATGAGCTGACAGAACCACGTAGACGCTGCAGGTTGTGTGATGTATGGTGGAAATCTGTTGAGCCTTTTGAGCTTAGGTGATGACAGATTGGGAAGTAAGAAAACTCCTTATTATACTGGGGGTGAGAGGCTGAGTGAGACAGGAGGATTGCAAGTTGGAGACCAACCTCAGCAACTTAGCAAGACCCTATCTTGAAAAGGACTAGGGATGTGACTCAGTAATGAAGCACCCCTGGGTTTAATCCCCAGTGCCAAAAAATAATGTGTATTGTGACTATAGTGTGTCAGAGTTGTTGCATTGATTTGCTGCCATCCCCAAGTCCCATCCCTGGGATGTTTCAGTTGAGTCTTGGCTATCTTAGATTTTAAAGCATAATCAAAATCACAGTTCAGACATCGAATATGGTGCTCCATTGCTTGATTTGCTAGATCTCAGTGGGCCCAGGCTTCCAAGTAGCACTCTCGAAGCCATTCCTTCTTGTAGTTTTACATCTAGAAATCTGGTATTTGGATTCAACTGTAGAAGCAATAGACTTAAACATTATTTCCTTTTTTTTAATATATTGACCAAAAAATCTGCCATATATTGTTGAACCAAGTGGTTGTTGTTGCCATGTTTCCCTTGGAGACAGTAAAGTCATTGACTATTACCAGGATCTGGCAAGTAGTGAATGCCCAAATGCTTTTTGAGTATTTCTAGTTTCTTTGCCCATAGTAGTGGCAAGAATGAAACACATGCATATAACCTTTTCGTTTTCACAAAAAAAATGAACTAATAACTACAATGGGAGGCAATAGTTTTGACTTTAGTTGGACCCTTTGTGACCTTTGTGACCCTTTTCTTGGAAATCGATCATCCCTTCCAGTACCTGCCAAAGACAGTTTGACCCTGGACTGTGTAAGCTCCTTAAAAATGGGCTGCTCCAGGTCTTTTTGTGCCTAGTCCAGTGCCGGGTATACAGTAGCCACAGAATGGGCACTCACCTACTAAGCAAACATATTCTCTCAAACTGACGTGGCTTTTGTTTTTTTGGGTTTTTTTTTTTTTTCAGGGCCCACTGATGATGGTGAAGAAGAGATGGAAGAAGACACAGTCACAAACGGGTCCTGAGCAAGGTGGTGGATGTCTACTAACAGGCAGTCTTGGGACAAATCTACTTTTTGAACATGGAATAATAGCCTTGTTTGTGTCAGCAAAGTGGAATCTCACCATTGTTGAAACGTTTTAAACTGCTGCCCATAATTTTGTATTATAAATTTTGAAGTCTAAATGTCAGTTTTTTACAAATGGTAAAAAATAAAGGCCACTCACTGTGCTGCCGAATTGCTTGTCATTGTGGTGTATTTGCACTGAGGTTTAAGGACAGATTTAAGTTGGAAGTTCAGGACAATGGTGTTTGTAGGTAGGCATCCCCATTATCTGTGAACTGTTTATATTTTCAGATTTTCCTAAAGGCTTTAGGATTCTAAATCAGCATCTTTTGACCTTTTTAATTAAACCTATCTGTAAATATCATACAAATAAATAAATTGATTTGAAATATTGCTGAGGGGAATATGACAGGAACCTTTAGTATGTGGTAGGGGAAATCTTGGCTTCCCTGGTGGCAGGATAAGTCATGCTTTCCTCAGCTCCTGGACACTATGACTTTGTTTATTTGGTGTTCAAAGTCTGGATTACATGGTTTCTTTGGTGGATGTAAACTCAAGGACAGATAAATGCTTAGGATAAAGAAGAAAGGTAAGAGCTGGAGTTGTGGCTCAGTAGTAGAGTGCTCGCCTAGCACGTGCAAGGCCCTGGGTTCGATCCTCAGCACCACATAAAAATAAAAAAGGTATTGTGTCCAATTAAACTGAAAAAATATTTTAAAAAAGAAAAAAAAGGACTAGGATGTGGCTTAGGGGCAAAGCATCTCAGGGCTTGATTCCCAACAGTAAAAGTAAGTGGTTTTTTTAATTTCAAGATTATCTTATTGTAGTGTTTGTATTAGAAGATTAAAGGCCCTGATTTTGCGGTTCTAAAAATTATTAACTTAGGAAACATTTTATTTGTGTACATAATTAACATAATTTAAAGCCCACCTTGGGGGTCTGCAATAATGTCAGTTAAATGTAGAGGTGTAGCTCATTGGTAAAGCACTTTCCTAGCACGCACAAGACGCACAAGATCCTGGGTTCAATCCTCAGTATTGCATGCAAAAAAAAAAAGCAATGAGACCTCACAGTACTCATTTTTTGTGATTTTTTTTTTTGTGTGTGTGTGTGGTGCTGGAACCCAGGGCCTTGTGCATATGTGAAGCAAATACTCTACCAACTGAGCTATATCCCCAACCTGACACTGTTGATTTATTGCTCCCTCTTATCTCCTTTATCTACCACACCCTTAATCCTACCTTCTTGCATATACTTTTGTCTAAAGGAGACCTTTGTCACTTTATCAGTAGCTATTGCCACAATCATGCCTCTTAAACCACCCAAAACTGAAGGGGTTTTTTTTTTGTTTTGTTTTTAAGAGGAAAAAACTAGTTCACAGCTGGCTCTGTATTTCATTGCAGATCTATGGATTAACTAGGGTAGCTTTTCAAGTCTCTGTCTCTCCTTAGACAAGCCAGATAACCTAGCAATGTCTCAAGAAGTAAACATTAAAGGCTTCCTGAAGCTGACACTCAGAGCTGATGCACATTTATGCCCACTTGACATTAATCAATGTAAGCCACCTGGCCAGATAAAGTCAAAGGATGGAGAAACTCCTTCCATGTGAAGGTCCTGACATGGATATTGAAATTGTTTAAAATGTGTGTTATTTTCATGAATTGGTGCCATATTTTATTTTATATTACAAGGTCCTCAGTGGAAAAGATTCTCACTTTTTATTTACCAGCTATCTTTTACTACAAGAGCCAGAGTGTTGGTAAATGGTTTGTTTCACTAGAAAAATTGATAATTCCATTTTAAATAGAACAAAATCAGTAGAACTGCAAAGAACACTGAAATCCATATAATAAACAAGCTTGATATAATGGATACATAAAGAACAGTTGGAAAATATATAGAACATCTTCATTAAACACAAAGGATGTTTATTAATACTTCATGAACTTGGCCATTATGTCTCACAAAATATAAAGAATTGACTCAAATTATAATAGTCAATTTACTTTAACAGTGTCCCACTTTATGCTTTGAATATAACCCTTTCTGCTCTGCCACTGCACTGGGGTGGTGGGGCATGGTACTGGGGATTGAGCTCAGGAGTGAAGATAAAGCAAGGAACAAGAGACTGGTAAACGAGAAATGAAAGATGGAGACCAGGCAGAGATACACATGAGAGTTTATTTGTCAGAGCTGACAAATAAAGGTCATCTCTAGAGGAAAGAGTTAAAACAGGCTTGAGTTCCAGGACTTTCCTGGGGCAGGCTCAGGAATCAGAGCCAGGCTGGTCCTAATGCTGGTTGCTAGGGGTTGTGGTGGTATGAGGGAGTGGTGAGCCTTTCTCAGAAAGGCCCTTGGACCGGAAAGTGATACTTTTTCCTTTGAAATGGCAGCTGTCACTTAAGATGGCCGTCCAGATGCTAAGCAAGGACCTTATAAGGGACACTGGACCACTGAGCCACATCCCCAGCCCTTTTTTGTATTTTATTTATTTAGAGACAGAGTCTCACTGAGTTGCTTAGCACATCATTTTTGCTGAGGCTGGCTTTGAACTCACAATCCTCCTGCCTCAGCCTTACAGAGCCACTGGGATTACAGGCATGCACCAACATGCCCAGCTGCAACTTATTTTTAAAATGGACATGTTTCTTTCTCTTCCTCTCTCCCTGCTCCTCTATCTCTCCACATCCCTAATCTCAGGGGAAACAGGATTATCTTTCTTCCCCATCCTAGGCAGAATTACAGCCTTTGGGACAGGAGTCCCCAATGTTTCTCCTTTGCTAGCAAAGCAATAAACCTTTTTCTTTTTTCTCAAACTCATATCCTCATTTTTGGATTGGCGTCAGGGACAAGGACTGAGCTTCTGGCAACATTACTAATATAAAAAAGGTACCATATAGACTTGAAAGTCTCAAAACAAACTTGTAAGTAACTCATGGACCAAAAAATAAATCAGATCTGAATTTAAAAGTAGAGGCCCTTGTGGTCCAGTAGCATTTGGCATTAATTAATAATAGATACACTGAAATATAAGAAAAGTGGATTCATTAAGGGATTTAGAAATTCTAATATAAATAACTTACACCACAAGGTAATATGAAATAAGAACCTAATGAAGAATTGCAGTTAATAATTGCTAGGTTTGGGGGGAAAATATTAGTTGAGCTTGGGCTTACAGAAGAAATAGTCGTTCATTAAGGGATTTAGAAATTCTAATATAAATAACTTACACCACAAGGTAATATGAAATAAGAACCTAATGAAGAATTGCAGTTAATAATTGCTAGGTTTGGAGGGGAAATATTAGTTGAGCTTGGGCTTACAGAAGAAATAGTTGTTCTTTTAACAACTGACCATTTTTCTGGTGATGAAAGTGATACAATCAAATACCAGAAGGGCAAAGCAAATACTCTGTATGACAATAGAAGATTGCCCTAAATGTGATTTTTATTTTGCAAACCTGAATAATACTTATAACAAATATGACAGAAAAATCAATAAGAAATTTGGACAAAGGTTTTGAGAAAGTTATAAGATGTTCTGTAATGCCAGATTCGTGGGACCCCAATAGACCTCCAGGAGCTGAATCCGATGCAATCACACAAGAGTCTTTATTGCAAGCTGGAGCCTGGACTCACAACCGTTTCCAAAGCAGTGGTCCCAGGGAGTGAGTCCCGGTCCTTTGTTGAGTGAGATTTTATAGGTTTGGGGGGATACTCTACTTGTCACAATATCACACAGCAAATCATTCCACAACACGGAAAAATCAAACAACTCTGAACATTGATTAGCACTTTCACTGGCGGGAACAAGTTGGGTAGGGGTGATTGGTTAGTACAAGAGGGGGATTCGTTTGAACTGATTAATCCGTAAGGGGTGTACATGCTAAACTACATAGTTTCATAACATGTTATCGATCACCGAGACTACTGGGGGGGGATCATCTGGCATCCCAGGTATTTTCCCTGTCTCATGATGATTGGTGGTTGCTAGGGGGTTGCTATGAGTCCTCACCTAGCCTAACTGAGTCAGGGACACCTGGCGCTGCAGATCTCTTCCATTATTTGCAGACAAACAACTCAGCAGGGTGGCTATGTGCCTAGGAATATTCTGTGGGTTTTTCTAATGACAAGGGTCAGTCACGCCCCTCCCTCTGGACAGGCTTTGAGGTAGAAGCTGGTTTCTCAAAAATGGAGTCACATCAACAGCAGTTCAACAGCACATACAATCAGGGAAGGAACCAACAATGAACTATTTTTAAAATTTTTTTTGTAGTTGTAGATGGACAGAATGCCTTTATTTTGTTTGTTTATTTTTATGGGGTGCTGAGGATGGAAGCCAGTGCCTCATACATGCTAGGCAAGCACTCTGCTGCTGAGCTACAGCCCCAGCACAACAAAAGAATATTGTTCATGTCAGATGGGCTAGGATAAAAGAGACTGAAAAGCTCATAATCAAAGGTTTATGCACACAGGGTTTATCCAGATATTATCTCTGTTCTTCATAGTGTCATTCAACATGGCTTATTCTGTCTCTCACCACCCCCTTTCCCATGCACAAAAATCTATTGTTTTGTAGTAATATTTTTTGATCACAAAGTTTTTTGTTTTTTGGTTGTTGTTTTTTTTTTTTCATGTTTCTTTCATGGGCTGTTAGCAATTTGACAATATATTCTATATTCTTTGACCTACGAATTCTGGGAATTTATATCTAGATGTGAAATAGTATATTATATGCAAGATTGTTCTTGCATATCCTTGTAAATATTAGTGAAAAACTGGGTAAAGTTCTAGGAATAGAGAATATGTTAAAGAGAATATGGCAGACAGATATACACATATGTCACACACACGTATATTTACCATGTAAAGAACTATGCAGTAATTAGTAGCCATTTGTGTTAGCAAGCTTGAGTAGTTGTAACCAATACACCTGACGAAAACAGCTTAGAGGGGCTGGAGATGTGGCTCAAGCGGTAACGCGCTCGCCTGGCATGCGTGCGGCCCAGGTTAGATCCTCAGCACCACATACAAACAAAGATGTTGTGTCCACCGAGAACTAAAAAAAAAAAAAAAAAATTTATTTTTCCTTCTCTTTCTCTCTTTTTAAAAAAAAAAAAAAAACCAGCTTAGATGTGAAAAGTTTATTTTGGCTCACAGTTTAATCAGTTCAGTTCACAGTCAGCTGACAGCATTGCTCTGGGCCAGGGGTAAAGCAGAACATCATGGCAGAAGGGAGTGGCAGAGGAAAGCTGCTCAGTTCAGGACAGCCAGGAAGCAAAGAGCAGAGTCTTACTTTTTAAAGAGAAAAACTAATGTTACAATTTATCCCATATTGATGATTACAGCACCAAGACAGAGTGGATGAATACATCAAATTCTTTCCTCCATTTAACTAGGTGAAGGTTGACTTAATTTGTTGATGGAGGGTGAAAGTTGGTAACAACACATCTTTGCATTTTTGTATCTTCCTCCATGGCTACTGTGAGCATCTTGAGTCCTGAAGTACACTGTGAGCTCGGAAGTGATGTGAACTGCAACATTCTTGAAGCTTCCAAATCTTAATCTGACACCTCTTGTTAAGGCAAAGGCAGGGAGCCTTCTATTAAATGCTTCACTGTTAAGTACTATGTAAAAAATAAACTCTACTCCCAAGCATTGATTGAAACTGTTTGTACTGTGATCCCTTTTCTAAGCACAAGTTTCCTGAGAGAAAGGAGAGACACTACCAATTGCTGCCATGACCCCAGGGCAGTTTACCCAATGTCCTGACAAAAGAGGCCAAGTAACCTCATTCTTACCCATTTGTCACTATGCACAAGTTTTTTTGTTTGGCTGGTTTTGTTTTTTGGGGTACTGGGGATTGAACACAGGGGAATTTTACTACTGAACTACAACCCCAACATTTTTTATTTTTTTATTATGGGATAGGTCTCCCTTAAGTTGCTTAGAGCCTTGCTAAGTCACTGAGGCTGGCCTCAAACTTGGGATCCTCTTGTTTCAGCCTTCAGAGTTATATGACAGGTGGGTACCAACAAGCCTAGCAAGGGGTTTATTTTGTTGTGTTGTGGTGCTTGGGATTGAAGGGCCTGTGCTAGATAAGAGTTCTCTACCACTCAGTTATATCCCCCCAGCTCTAAGGTACATTAATCTCAGACCAAGTATTGATCTGATTATGGTTATAATCCCAAGAAATCATTCAGTTTTAACACATTGAGTTCCTGTAAGAACAAGTGGGAAATCATTGTAAAGTAGAGTAATGGTTCATCATTTAAATGAGAGAAAAACATCAGGAAGAAGAAAATATGGACTGGGTTGTAGCTCAGTGTAGAGCACTTGCCTGGTATGCATAAGGCATTGGTTTGATCCCCAACACAGTTTGAAAATTTAAAAAGAAGGTAGAAATGAAACTCCTTTCTAAACTCATCAAATTGGTGGCTATTTTCACAGCTTTAATTGACAATGTTCACAGTTCTCAATTTTCTGGTTTGAGGAATACATTTTCAAGGTGGTTATCAAGATGAAGAAGAGGTTTCAGGTTTTTCTCTACTATCCCCAGGAACTTCAGTCCTTCAATAGGTATCTCTATTAGCTTTTCACTACTATAATAAAAATACCTGAGGAAGCCTTACTTTATAAAGAAGTTTATTTAGCTAAGTTTGGAGGATAAAAGTCCCAATAGCATGTTCTTGCAGGGGCTTCTCTTGGTTGCATCACGTCATGGTGAAGTACATGTGTAACTGTGTACATGGTCTTTCTCCCACTCCTTAGGGTTCCACCCTAAGGCCCTAATTTAATTTAATAACTTCCCAAGGGCCCACCTCTAAATGCCACAGTCAGATTAAGTTTTCCCCCTTTTAATTCCACTAACAAGCCTTTGGAGGATTAAACTGCATGGATTTGGGAGAACAAACTGTATTCAAACTATAGTATCTTGCATGGTTGTGCATGCCTGTAATTCGAGTGGGTGGGAGGCTGAGGCAGGAGGATCACAGGTTTAAAGCCAGCCTCAGCAACTTAGAGGGTCTATAAGTAACTTAGTGAAATCCTTTTTAAAATAAAAAATAAAAGGGCTGGGGATGTGGCTCAGTGGTTAAGTGCCCTTAAATTCAGTCCCAACTACCAAAAACAAAACAAAACAAAAACCCCCAAACCACAGCAATCTTCTCCTTTACTGATTCTGAATATACTGCTAGGAGCACTTGGTGAGTTTAAGTTCACTCTCCTGGTTGAAAAACTTCTTGGCAAACTGAAGAAGGACGAAGCATTGCTGGTCTTCCAGCTTGATGATGATGTAAGCCTTCCCACACCACTCCTGGTCAAGGCGGCAGTGTGACATTCCGACATTATCATTGTTACCCAACTCTAATCTTATATTGCCTAGGTGACCTAGTTGAATTTCTACACACCGCCCTGCCCCCAACCCTGATTATCTTTGAGGAAGGGATGCCTGAAGGCCAGAAGTTCCTTTTCAGGTGAGCCAGCTGAAACTTGGATGGACCTAAAATGACTGCCAGAGTGATTGCCAGACAACATCTAACTTCATTTTCATCCCATGTCCATGCTAAGTGACACCCCATGACAGTTGCCACGAGGAAGAACCATAAAAAGAGGAGACACCAGAATTGAGAGAAAACCTCCACCCAAAGAATATATGAATAGTCTTTCCCTTTATTAACCTATACTTCCCCCTTCATTTCTTTACATGTAACTATAATTTACCAATCCTCCAGGATTGAGAATGATTTTCAAGTCCATTTTCCCACCCCCACTATTCTTGGCCAGGAAGAAAAGTCTCCTTAGCTGCTCAATCAGCGCTGAATCTTGTTATTGAGTCCACAATTCCAAAAAGGAAGCAGTTCCCAATTTGGGGTAAAAATCTGCTAATAGCAACCATTGACTTTTTTTTGTTTTGTTTTGTTTCTAATTCTCGTCCGTTCTTTTGATACAAAGCTAGGTTAAATGCACGTCTTCAAAACCCAAAGGTCAAATTCCAAGCAGGGTAGTTATAATCGCCAAAGAGGTGGTGACATTTGAGTAGTTGGAGGGGGTGGAGGAAGGTATTGCCGGCAAAGGGAACAGCCAGGACACTATTATAAATAACTGTGATAATATCCTGTGACACACAGTAACCATGAACAAGTGTTGGTGCCACTGCTATGGTAATTCTTCCAAGAAGTTTTGATTCTGGAGAACTTTTAGGTTCAGTGAGACTTTCTTGGCCTTAAAGTAGGATAAAGAAGCTGCTGTATTTCGTGTTTACAGCTTTGCGGGACGGATGTCGCCAAAAGGTTGAGCTCTGTTGCCTAAAGGGCTCCGGCAAGAGTGTGGGCGCAATCCCTATCCCTGGGCGGACCCTAACCTTCTTGACTCAGTGTCCAATCAGTATAAAAGTACAAATTCCATAAGAAATCAGAATAGAAGTCTGATTTCCTCCCTCACTGAGGACACTACGGAGAGTAAACCTCCTTGCCCAGCGCAGCCCTGCTGGCTCGGGGTGTGTCCAGCCGACTTTCGTCCCGCCTCTCGGGGGCACCTACTCTGCGATTGGCCAAGCGTCAGGACGGGTCGAGACGCGATTGGTAGACAACACTGCCACGTCCAGGAGCGCCACGTGTACGTAAGGACCGGCCGGAAGTACCCGGATAGAGGCGACGCGGCAGGGCTGGGCAGCGGTGGTGGCGGCGATGGAGCGGGAAGGGGAACAGCTGTCCGCGCGGCCGGCCCTGGAGACTGAGGGGCTGCGCTTCTTGCACGTCACAGGTGAGTTGCCGCGGGCTGTGGTTAAGTGGGGCGCGAGTATCACCTCTTCGGCGCGCCGCCATGTTCGGTGGGTGGTCCCCGGCTCTGAGCTGAGGGCCCGGGCCCAGAGGCCTGACTCGCAGTCGGGCGTTAACCTCGCATGCAGGCCCTGGGCTGCGGCCTGTACCTCGGGCAGATGCCTTCTCTAGAGCCGCCCATCTTTGGGTGGCGCCCGCGGGTCTTGTTTGCTGTAGTCCTGTACTGCAGTCCTTTCTGTCACTCGACCCTTAACGTTTCTTTCTAGACCCCCTCCCCCCACCTTCGCCCGTACACACACCCCGTGCTGTCACTGCTTTATGTGTGATTTTGTAGTTCTGAAGGACCTTTGCCTGCTCGGGTCGGATAAGCTACCCCTCAATCTCCAGAACCCATTGCTGTGCCCTCCACCGGCCATACTCCCTAGATGGTTGAGGCGACTCCCTAGATGGCTGAGCCGACTACCTTAATTGTTGCGCCTCTCGCTCTTTTTGTTGTAAGAGGACGTTTTTTTTTTCAGCTAAACCGAGAAGGTTTTTAGGGCAGGAGCCAATTTTTCTTTATTGAGATTTATGGAAGTACCATTTTTAGTATCTTATTTTTTCTTTTCAGTGGGCTCCCTGCTGGCCACCTATGGCTGGTACATCCTATTCAGCTGCATCCTTCTCTACGTGGTCTTTCAGAAGCTCTCCGCCAGACTAAGGGCCTTGAGGCAGAGACAGCTGGACCAAGCTGAGGCTGCTGTGGGTTAGTGTCTGATATAACCGAAATGAAGACAGTGGCTTGAAACGAAGACAGTGGCTTGACACCTACTTTTTGTACTATTATTTAAAAGTCCGTTTTTAAGGGTAACAATACATATGCTTCTTTATGTATGGGAAGGGGTACTTTGCCTCTAAAGTTGATTTTGGTGTATGTGTAATTCTGTTTTTGATTCAGAGATTATTTTTTAGTGTCAATTTTCAAATTGTCTTAAACTTTGACAGTAGAAATGAAGATAATCTGGAAATTTTTTTTTTGCAAGGGGGGAGTGGTGACACTGGGGGATTGAAACCAGGGTCTCAAACATGCTAGATAAGCACTCATGTGGTGCCTAGGATTGAACCCAGGGCCTCCCATGTGCTAGGTGAGCCCTCTACCACTGAGCCACAACCCTAACACTGTCTACTTCTAAGCTACATCCCAGCCCTGTTTCAGAGATTTTAATGAGATTGGAAAATTCAACCTGTCTGCCTGATGATGTGTAGTGTGCTCAGTGCATATCTTATTAAATGATTATTAATTTTAGGAAGGATTAAAATGAAAACAGTTTCTTGGTACATATGGATCTGTCCACTGAGTTTTATCACAAGAACCTTTGTGAGTGATCACAAACAGCCTTAGCTCTTCATAGATAATTCATCATAATTTTTCACTAAATTCTCAGATCTGATTTTTAATTGCATTAGTTGTATAAAAAAATTCCATCTCAAAGTAATCTTTTCACTGGTTAAAGGCTACACTGGCATGTAGTCTTAGCTCCTCAGGAGACTGAGGCAGGAGGGTTACTTGAGCCCAAGTGTTTGGGGCCAGCCTTGGCAACATGTCAACACCCCAGCTCCAGAGCAAACACATATCTTCATGCATCTGAGTCACTACAGTACTGAGTTAGGGTGGAAAGCTTTATTTTACAAATTAGATAAAAACATAAACTGGCACTTGTTAATATTCTTAAGGCTAGTTGGGAGGATTTTTCTTTTCTGTAGAAATGAGGTTAAAATTCCTATGAATCTTTACCTTTTTTTGATATAGGTGTGGGCTAATTAAGTGATTGGTAAAGATTCAGAAAACTGGCTGTGCTTGATGTCTCACACCTGGAAATCCCAGTGACTTTGGGAGACTGAGGCAAAAAGATTGCAGGTTTGAGGCTAGTGCCAGCAACTTAACAAAACCCTAATTAAAAAAATAGAAAGGACTGAGGATGTGGCTCAGGGTAAAGTACCTGTGGGTTCAGTCCTTAGTACCAAAAATAAGGGTGGGAGGGAAGATTCAGAAAACTTTCTTTAACTTTTGGAGTTCTGGTCAACCTAAAGATTGGGTGTGAGTGAGGTATTCAATTTATATAATGAAATCTCACTGTGAATCTCACATTACTCATATTTCATTCACAGGCCCACTGTATACCAGACTTCCTGAATTAACATTATTGTAGGGAATACAGATATCTGCATTTATTTTTTGAAAGAGCCAAGTGAGACCCTAACTCAAAAACAACAACAACAAAAAAAAAAACCACAAAGCAGTACTGAGATTGAGGTAGAAAGCTGTTGCTGTTTTAGGAAACAAAGCTTACTGTGTTACCTAGGTTGGTTTTGAACTGAACTTAAGGGATCCTCCCACCTCAAATCTCCCAAGTGCAGAGATTTGTTTCTGATAATGTGGACATTTAGGGCTGAAGAACTATGGCTAAGGCATTGTCACCTGTTCCCTTAAGCAGTCAGATATATGTGCAGAAGTGGGTAGGATTTCTCACATAAGAATTTTTTTGTTGTGTTGAGCTGGGGATATAGCTCAGTTGGTAGAGTGCTTGCCCTGGCATGCACAAGGCCCTGGGTTCTGATCCCCAGCACCATCAAAAAAATAAAATAAAATTGTTGTTGTATAACATTGTACATCTATACTTACAGACACTGAGAAGTTTCTATTTTATATTGTATAAGATGCCTTATCTCACATTTTTTTCCTGATATTTTAGAACCTGATGTTGTTGTTAAACGACAAGAGGCTTTAGCAGCTGCTCGTTTAAGAATGCAAGAAGAACTGAATGCACAAGTTGAAAAGCATAAGGAAAAACTAAGACAGGTATAAACTGGTTTTATTTAGTAAGTTTTTTTTATTATTATTATTTGCTGTTCTGGGGATTAAATCTAGGGTCTGGAGCTTGTCAAGTGAGTGCTCTACCTCTGAGCTGAATCTAATATGAATGGTTTTACTTTGAAAATGTAGTCTTAAAAAATGGTGTGAAGCTTAGTGGGTAAGAGTGACTTAAGTATATGTTCTTATTTGTAAATTGTTAGAACAGGGTCCTATCCTGTGAAATTCAACAGATGTTTTAAGGCCTACCATGTAAATATTGGTGATATGAGAAAATAATTCTGTTGTTAGGGAAGGATAAATGTGGATGTATTATTGTAATGCAAAGTACAGCGCTTAAGAGGGACAGACTGGAGGCAAGATGTGTGTATAAGTACCTGTGCCTGTTGGGAGTAGTAGGAGCAGAAGGGCTTCCACTTATTTTTTTGTTGGTCAGCGTGCATTTTCATTCTGTTAAGTGGGAAATACTCATGTGTCTAGGTCTTGAGTCACAGACACACAGAAAACACTTTTAGCTTTGTTTTAAGCTGTGTTGCACATGAGGTAGCATGAGGGAAGAGCACTCTTCAGTGAATTTAAGGAGAATGAGGGGAAGGCAGCTGAGGGGCCCAGCCAAAGTGGTGCTAATAAGAGATGGAAAACAGGGGCAGGGGCTGGGGCTGGGCTGGGGCTCAGCGGTGGAGCACATGCCTTGCACGTGTGAGGCGCTGAGCTTGTTCCTCAGCATCACATAAAAATAAATAAATAAAATAAAGATATTATGTCCAACTACTACTTTAAAAAAAAAAATGAGAGAGAGATGGAAAACAGGAGATGGCGTTTTGAAAGTTTTTTTTTTTTGGTACCAGAGATTAAACTCGGGTGCTTTACCACTGAGCTATATCCCCATCCCCCACCCCCCTTTTTTTTTGAAACAGGGTCTCATTAAATTTCTAAAGCTGGCTTTGAACTTGTGATCCTCCTGCCTCAGCTTTCTGACTGCTGGAATTTCTGGCTTGTGCCACCACACCCGTGTTTTAAAAGATTTTTAAGGCATGGGATTTGGTTGAAAGAGAAGGTGGAAGGTGAGGTGGGGAGGAAGAACTGAGGATTGCCTTCAGCAGTCAGATGGAATGCAGTGGTATGATCACTGGGGATGTGATTGTCCTCATCTATGCCACTTGTCCTCATCTATGCCACTAAAATGACCTTTGTCATCTAATTTTAGTCCAGAAGTTTCTGGGCCTCCTTATCCCCTCAAAATGATGCCTCTGCCAGCAACTTTTAAGGTTGTATTATTGGTCTCGCTTACATCTATCCCTTGTTCCAGAGAAAGGTGTCTTTCTGCAGTCACTGACAGCTGTTCTTATTTCTCATGGTCATCTCCTTGTGGTTTGTCTGCCTCGCTTGGCTGGGACCACTTCCATACACTCCCCTTCTTGATCACCTGTCCCAACAGCCTTTTGTGTGTGTGTGTGTGTGTGTGTGTGTGGTGCTGGGGATTGAACCCAGGGCCTTGTGCATGTGATGCAAGCACTCTACCAACTGAGCTATATCCACAGCCCTCCAACAGCCTTTTCTTTTCTTTTTCCCCTGTACTGGGAATTGAACCCAGGGCCTTGCTCATGTTAGGCAAGTACTCTGTACTGAACTATATTCCCAGCCTTATATTGAGACAGGGTCTAAGTTTCTTTAAGACTAAGTTTCTTAGGCTGGCATTGAACACTCTGCCCTTCTAACTCAGTCTCTTGATAAGATGCAATTATAGACAATCCCCTTTGTGCCCAGCTCCAACAGCCTTTTTTAGTGTCCATGACAGTTGATCAGCTATATTCCCTTTAGTTGTCAACCTAAAGTGTACATTATTTACTTAACTTTTTTAATTAGAAAAAGTTGTGGGGCTGGGTTTTATCCTCAGCACCACATAAAAATAAACAAATAAAACAACAATAACAAAAAAAGTTGAAATGTAAAAATCTATACCATGGAAACTAAATTTTTATATTTCCCCACTCCCTCACTTTCCACTGCACAAGCATCCCATACAATGTTAAGTTTCTGGGACATTTTTTTCCAGAAATATTTGATCTATATATAAACACATGTATGGGCTGGGATTGTGGCTCAGTGGTAGAGCACTTGCTTAGCACAGGCAGGACCCAGGTTCGATCCTCAGCACCACATAAAAATAAAGGCATTGTGTTGTATCCGTCTACACCTAAAAAATAAATATTAAAAACAAAATAAACACATGTATTTTTTATTTTTTTGGTACTGGGGATTAAACTCAGGGGCACTCAACCACTGAGCCACATCCCCAGCCCTGTTTTGTATTTTACTTAGAGACAAGATCTTACTGAGTTGCTTAGCAGCTCATTTTTGCTGAGGCTGGCTTTGAACTTGTGATCCTCCTGTGTCAGCCTCCTGAGCTATTGGGATTACAGGCAAGTGCCACCGCACTCTGCAGTGGGCTCCTTTTTTTTTTAAATTTTGGTGGACACAACATCTTTATTTGTATGTGGTGCTGAGGATTGAACCCAGGCTGCACACATGCCAGGCGAGCCCGCTACCGCTTGAGCCACATCCCCAGTCCCTGGGCTCCTTTTTATTGAAATGGAAGCATGTCATTTTGAACACTCCCTCCCCCCCAGTTTATAACCATTAATTCTGTGTTTGGGTGTGTATTATCCTGAGAATGGAATTTAGGGCTCTGCATATACTAGGCAAGTACCCTATCACTGAGCTATACCCCCAGCCCAAACCATTAATTATTATTGTTTTGTTTCTAAGAGCTGTACAATAAGTCGTTTTTCTTCTGTGCACCAGAATTCAGTGATTTCAGGGTCTTAGTTTGTGTATTGTAACAGTTCTATCATTCAGTTTGCTAATATAACTGAAAAATCTTTTTTTCCCCTTTGGAATCAAGGATTGAACCTAAGGGCGCTTGACTACTGATTCACATCTCCAGGCCATTTATCTATCTATCTTTTTATTTAAATTTTGAGATAGGGTCTTACTGGGTTGCTTACACCCTTGCCAAATTGCTGAGTCTGGCTTTGAAGCTTCGCTTTTCCTGCCTAAGTCTTCTACAGCTGCTAGGATTACAGGCATGCACCACCATACATGGCTGAAAAATCTTTTAAAAGACAACTTTAAAATTGTAATGAAAGCCTCCTAAAATTGCAAGAGGGACAAAAAGTCTGTCCGTATTCAAGTGTCTAAATTCTATGGCATATGTAATTCTGATTGGATCTGTGCCTTATGGTTACTATGAGATTTCTTGTGTATAAGGTCAGAATTTGTCTGCTATGGTTTCATTTAGATGTTCTCAATTACTCACTGAAGTATTAAAGAACTTTCATGTTTAGAGGTGATTGGTTTCTTGACCTTTTTTACTTGAGGACAGTGGAAGTATGATGTAATAGATGTTCGGGTGTAGCAGTGATAAATCTTGTATTCTATGGAGAAACTTGCTGGGTGCCCGCTTTTTAAGACATCTGTTCACAAATCCTTGTGACGTCAGTTATGTAGAACCAGAATGAATTACATTTCTGTCTGGATTCCATTGGAAATGAGAAATTTTAAGTACTGTTGGTATACGTGTCAGTTGTAGTTCTTGGTTGCTGGAAGAGATGGTATTTGTTAAGGAATAGAGAACAGAGGCAAAGGTCTTTCCTATGATCCTCACAGCCTCAGGCAGAGGGTTTTAGTGACTTCCCTGGGTGGCACAGCCAGATGACAGCCAGGTGATGACAAAAGGAGGCTTGCTTGTCACCTTTTCCAAGTCAAAATAGTTCCACATTCTAAAAATGTCCTATTAAGTGCAAGTTTCAGAAGACCTCAGTCATTGCTCTTTTTTCCCATGACACATTGCTTTTTTTTTAATAGTGTAAAAAGCAATCAGGCCTAGTGGCATATACTTATAATTTCAACAGCTCAGGATGTTGAGGAAGGAGGATCACAAGTTCAAAGCCAGCCTCAGCAACTTAAAGAGGTCCTAAGCAACTTAGCAAGACCATGTCTCAAAGTAAAAAAGGACTGGAGATATGGCTCAGTGGTTGAGTGCTCCTGGGTTCAATCCCTGCTACCAAAAAAAAAAAAAGTACAGAAAAGCAAGAGTTAAACTCACACAACTAGATCACAACAGCTTTTTTAACTGAAGAAAATAATGGGTGCCGGTTTGTTTTGAAAAACATTTAAATTAATAATTATGAAAATAAATATTTTCCTTGAAAGGGTGGCACTTATGAGTACCTTCTTATGTGATTCTGTTTCTCAGCTTGAAGAAGAGAAAAGGAGACAGAAGATTGAAATGTGGGACAACATGCAGGAAGGCAAGAGTTACAAAAGAAATGCGAGAAACCCTCAGGTAACTATAGATTGGCCTGCCATTTTCTAATAGATAAAGATTTGTTAAGTAGAATGTTAAATTTTTTTCTTTGTGATTCCGGGGATTGAACCCAAGGTCTTATGCATGCTAGCCAAGCACTCTACCATTGAGCTACAGCCCCAGCCCCAAGTAGAAGGTTTTTTTTTGTTTTTTGTTTTTTTTTAAGTTTTCGGCGGACACAACATCTTTGTTTGTATGTGGTGCTGAGGATCAAACCCAGGCCTCATGCATGCCAGGCGAGCGCGCTACTGCTTGAGCCACATCCCCAGCCCTTTTTTTTATTTTTTTATCTTTTAATTTTCGGTGGACACAACATCTTTGTTTGTATGTGGTGCTGAGGATCGAACCCCGGCCGCACGCATGCCAGGCGAGCACGCTACCGCTTGAGCCACATCCCCAGCCCCAAAGTAGAAGGTTTTAAATAATTCTTAAGCCTATGTGTGTTCAAATAGGAGGAAGAGAGTCCTGGGCCTTCTACTTCATCTGTCATCCCAAAACGGAAATCTGACAAAAAGCCTTTGCGGGGAGGTGGTAAGCACCAATGTCAAACGTTTATTTTTCAACACTTACAGGATGTACTTAACCTTTTAAAAGTAGATTCTATTTCTTTTGTCTCAATGTCCATAAATTGACACTAATTTCTAAGCTTAGGGTTATGAAGATTAAATAAAGGAAACAGAAAATGCCACATAGGTCCTAAGTAATTAGAATTATGCTTGGGATCAGTATTCTCACTTGATCCCTCTGCAGCTCTATAAGAAAAGAGGTAAGCAGGATGGGGAACATTCTGCCCACCTGGCAAATGACTGTCAAGGGATTAAAACATAGTGGTTAAGTCTTATAGTAAGGTTTTCCTTATTTCTCATAAGTAACTTTTTCTCAAAAAAATGTGAACAGATGTTTGTTCAGAGCTTTTTTTCTGTGTGAAGAAAACTGGGACACTCTAGGTAATACCATAGCAGTCTGTCTTATTGTGTCTTAGAGAAACTTCAGATATACTTAGGAAAATGGAACTCATACCGAAATGGAAATCAATAGTCTTCTGTGATTCCAGCTAGGAGTTCCCAGTTAATTCTGAGCAAGAATAAAGATAAGATATGAGAACACCATGTAGGCACCAGTTCTAGGTTAAAGATATCCATGGGGGAAGAAGGACACAACAGGGGCCTGCTTGGCATCTTTGAGGACCAGGGAGGAGACAAGGATGTGGACTCTAGGCAGCATGGCAACAAACTTGGCAAAAGGCTGCCCTCTAATCCCCTCTGTGTCAGGAACCCAAAGCCAACTTGCTAGAATGGTGCAGCTGAGTAGAAAATGCTATTTTATAACTTTCCATTGCTGGAAGCCTTAAAAAAAAAAAAAAAAAAAAAAAAAATATATATATATATATATATATATATATATATATATATATATATATGTATGTATGTATGTATTATAGATGGGCATGATACCTTTATTTGTTTCTTTTTTTTATGTGATACTGAGAATCAAACTCAGTGCCTCAGTGGTGATATTTAGGAGAAGAATAGGAATTGTAGAAAATGTAATACATGACATGGCCCATTTTGGTATCCAGCATTTCTGAATCTAGGGCCTTTGCCCAGCCTGGTTTTACAAAGAAGGAAATAGGCATGGGGATTTATTGCCCAAAGATTCCACAGTAAGTAAGGAACAAAACCAGCTCATTCATTGTTTGGTTAACTCTGGGACCTGAGCACTCAACCTAGTCATCAGTTGATGGCTAACTTTGGGAAGCTAGTGGGGGAGGGAGAGAGGGAGAAATGATGTAGGCAACCCAGTTCTGACTCATAGACGTTCCATTATAGAACTTCTGCCAAGTTCCAACTGGCAAATTTCATTATGTATTTATCTATCTATCTATCTATGGTACTAGGAATTGAACCCAGGAATGCACCAAAAAGCTATATTCTCAGCCCTTATTTTTATTTTGAATTTGAAGCAGGGCCTCACTAAGTTGCTGAGGCTGGCCTCAAACTTGCAGTCCACCTTCCTGAGCCTCCCAAGTGTCTGAGATGAGAGGTTCATTCCACCATTCTGGCTTAAATTTATTGTCTTTTATTCATTTATTTTTTTATTTTTAATGTGCTTAGGATTTGAACCCAGTGCCTCATAACGTGCCAGACAAGTGCTACCACTGAGCTACAACCCCAGCCTTTTAAATTTATTTTCTATAGCTTGAACTGCTCTTGAATATATACTTTTTATTAAGCACTGCAGTTGAAGCCTTCGTATAATTCATATACTCAAAGTCAGACTATCCTAAAGGATGGGGTGGGTTGTTGTGGCTTTTTTTTTGGCCCATGTTTTGGGGAATTAGAATAAAGACTGAATGCTTCTTTTTCCCCTTGCAAAAAGTCAATTCAACTTGCAATCACAGTGTAGAACATTTTTTAATATGGTAGTTAAAAGTTTTTGTTTTTGTTTGGTACTGGGGATTGAACTCAGGGGTACTCAACCACTGAGCCACATCCCCAGCCTTACTTTGTATTTTATTTAGAGACAGGGTCTCACTGAGTTGCTTAGTGCCTTGTCATTGCTGAGGCTGGCTTTGAATTCTCAATCCTTCTGAATCAGCCTACAGAGCCGCTGGGATTATAGGCATGTTCCACTACACCCAGCTTGGTTAAAAGTTTTTTGAAAATATCCATGAGAATACAATTTATACCTTTGCATGTGAGGCTTACATTTGTATTTTTGATATAAAGTATTCCCAGATTTTCAGCCATCTAGTGTTCTGCTTCTGTTCTCTCATTCCAGGTTATAATCCTTTGACTGGAGAAGGAGGTGGAACCTGTTCCTGGAGACCTGGACGCAGAGGCCCATCATCTGGTGGATGAAACTAAGATTCTTGTTAGTGTCACTTTTGACATTAGCAAGATCATCCCTTAGCCCTTGATTCGATTGCCTTACGCACACTTTTCACAGTGACTAGCCCAGGGGAGGTGTGGTTTATTTCTTTTCTTAACTACACCTGCGTGTTTAAGGGTTTTAGTCAGCATGGGATATAGACATTGCCAGTAGGTAACGCTCCACTGAAAGTCAGTCATTGCAGTTGTTGATTTCATGATTCATTACTAGCTGGTAGATAGAAGGCCTCTAGCTAAATAGCAATCTTGGTAAAAGAGGCCCAGCAATGATCTTTTATGTTGGAAGTCCTTCCTAATTAAGGACAGTCTCTGTGACAGGTTGCGTTGAATGATGTCTTCCTTATAAATGGTGAGCCCACCAGTGAGGATTACTGATGCAGATGGTTGATGGGGTTTGTTTCTGTATATTTATTTTTATGTACAGAACTTTGTAAAAAATGAAATTGTAAATATTTAAAACAAAGAATGACATTTTTAGCATATTTATTAAATTTAAGGAAATTTCTTTATGTGCTTGAATTTGTCCATTAGACATTAAGCAGCTTTTTAACATTCAGACTCCAAATGTTTGTACTTAACTTCTTCACTTACTATTTCTTACCAGAAATGAGAATCACAAATGGCAGACAGCTACAGTAGTTTTGAAAGTTGGCAGATTCTATTGGGCTCATGTACAATATCAGGATCTTGTAGTTTAGTTACTGAATTAATAGGATGAAGAAACATCTTGATTCAAGATAACTTGTAGGCTGACCAGGTTCCTAAAAGCCCTACGAGTCATTCCCAATTTGCCATGACTTATTGATTATGTTCATTTATTTATTTATTTATTTTTATTTGCAGATGGACAAAGTACCTCCATTTCATTTATTTATTTTTATGTGGCACTGAGGATTGAACCCAGTACCTCATACGTGCGAGGCAAGCACTCTGCCACTGAGCCACAATCCCAGCCCTTGATTATGTTCTGTGAGAGCCCTTATCAGGAATTTTCTAAAAGAACCAGATAGTTGTAAATAGTTTAGACTTCACTGACTACATAGGGTCTCCATTACATAGTTATTGGGTTTTATGGTTAAGTTTCTTTTTTTTTTTTTTAATATTCATAGCTCATGGACTAGATTTGGTCTACATGCTATAGGTTATGTACCACCCCTACTGTAGAGGTTATCATGAGAAGGAACAAAATTAAACTTTAGGTCTGGGTGTGGTGGTGCATGCTTATAATCCCTATGAATCTGGAAGCCAAGGCAGGAGGCTTGTAAATTCAAGGTCAGCTTCAGTAACTTAGCAAGACCTTATCTCTAAGAAAGGACTGGGGATAAAGAACAGTGGCAAAACACCCCTAAATTCAGTCCCCATTGTCCCCCCTCCCCCAAATTTAAACTTCAGAATAGTGCTAATTCAGAAAAGTATTCTGAAATGGTCTCATAAATTAGTCAACATTTGGGCTGGGATTGTAGTTCAGTGGTAGAGTATTTGCTGAGCATGTGTGACACACTGGGTTTGATGATCAGCACTACATAAAAACAAAAAAGGTTAAATTCTTAAAAATAAATAGTCAACATTTATTGAGTATCTGATGCAGGTAGAATATTCTGATTGTCTATCCTGGCATATAAAGGAAAAAAGTCTGGTCACACAGTACTTAAAATGTCTTAGGAAGTGCTACAGGGAAGAGTTGAGGAAAGCAGAACAGGGTATATAAAAATCAGTTACAAACAAAGAAGTTTCCATGAAAACCAAGACAGTTCGGAGAGATCTGAGTTCCAATTATACATTTTAAAAGTAGAGCAATATAGGCCAGGGTTTTGTGCATAGCAGAATCAGCTCTCTGGCTGCAATGTAGTGAAAGTTAGCTCTTGACACACAGTTTGTAATAAATAGGAACAAGCTACATAGAAATAGGAGTTGCAGAGGGAATAGAAGGGTGTGTTTTTTCTTCCTTCGTAAATTATGAAGTCATAAGCATGTAGGAAGAAGCAGTGCTTAAATTTTGAATGTCCTCCTTGCATCTGGCTCTTCTAATAATGGTAGTGGAGGGTTGGTATCATAGGAAGAAGTAATAAGCAGATATGGATATTATCTGTATATAGTAATATTATTTATTGGGGTGCTATTTATATGTGGTAGTATGTGAAGAGCATTTACCATGTGGTAGTTACATACCTATATATTTAGTCGTCCTCACTACAGTCCTGTGAAGTAGGTGCTGTTAATAAGTTTGATTTTCAGAAGCTGAAACTTAGAGGGGTTATGTAAGTAATCCAAGGCCCCTAATCATTGAAGTTCACTTTGTGCCTGTATTCCTGCCTACCAAGGGCCTTAGGTAATCAAGATGTGGGGAGCTTAAGCTAGTAAATGAAACAATTACATATGGAAGTTGTGTTACAAGACTAGTTCAGTCAGTGTTTCAAAGGATTGGTCAGAGAACATAGGTCTTACTGAATGTGGTGACACACACTGTAATCCCAATGATAAGGGGGACTGAGGCAGGAGAGGATAACAAGCTCAAGACCAGCCTCAGCAATTTAGTGAGGACTTAAGCAACTTGAGAGTCCCTGTGTCAAAATAAAAAGGACTCTGTGGTAAAGCACCTCAGGGTTCTATCCCCACTACTAAAAATAAAGGTCCCCCCCCCTCACCAGCTCTCCAGAAAAAACAAGGAATTGGGGGTAAAAGTGCAAGGGCCAAAACCTGAGACCTCTGGCAAAAGACAAGACTGGGCCAGTGCCATGAAAACTGTTTCAAACTCAGACTCTATTCTCTGCCGTGTCCATCTGCAGAGAAACTATAGCTGAGATGGAAACACATTCTGGCACAGAATTTGGAACTAAAGTGGTAGACATTTGGGAGCTCTTAATTATTTGTGGGATTTTGGGGTGAGAGGGGCAATAGGGACACTGCTAAGGCCTTATTTTCACATGACCATGTGCCCCACATGGAAGTAGACAGAGGACTGCTACAAACACTGAACACTAGATCCCCCTAGTTTGTGATTATTGTAGGCTGAATGGTTATGCTACCCCTACCCGTTTATGTTATGTTGAAATCCTGAATTCCCAAGGCACTGAGGCATGGCATTTGAGCTGTGATCAGCTTGTGATGGTGGAACCCTCATGAATGGGAATTGGTGCCCCTATAAGAGACTGCAGAGCTATTTGCCATGTGAGGAGGGTGAGGAGAAAGTTGGCTGTCTGCAACCCGGAAGAGTGTCTCACTGCGCCAGCACCTTGATCTTGGGCTTCCTGTGTCTAGAACTGTGAGAAGCTGTTTTATAAGCCACCCTGCTCATGGCACCTCCTTGCAGCAGCTAAGACAGTTATTCTTTCATCTCTGCATTACTTCCTAACATTTCCAATTCCTACATTCCATGAAAGTGCAATCTGTGGCTACAGAATCCACGTTGTTAGGACCTCCTAAATCAGACAACTATTTTTTTTTGGTACTGGGGAATGAACCCAGAGATACTTTACCACTGAGCTAAATCCCAAGCCCCTTTTTTATTTTAAGAATGGCTATGTTGGGCTGGGGGTATAGCTTAGTTGGTAGAGTGCTTGCCTCACATGCAAAAGGCCCTGGGTTTGACCCTAGCACCACAATAAATTAAAAAAAAAAAAAAGCTACATTGTGGCCTCGCTTAGTTGCTGAAGCTGGCCTCAAACTTGTGATTGTCCTGATCCTCAGCTTCCTGAGCCACTGGGATTGCAGGCATTTGTCACCATACCCAGTGTCATTCATTTCTGTCACCATGCAATGTTTGCCATCACCCAGTATTGTTCCCCAGCAGACTACAAGGCTTGCAGGGCAGGGCAGGACCTGTGCTTATGCTGTTTACAGCATCTCCAGGCCTGCTTGAGTCTTATTTTCTACAGCACATCTCTTCTGCCACTGTAGTTTTCTGAGATGGAGCATTTGAATTGGGTTATGATACAATGACATTTCATCTCAAGCCATGAATGTCTACCTGTGTAATCTTTTTTTTTTTAACCACCAATATGTTTTTATTTTTGTCATTGTCAACATGTACAGCATTGGAATTGTATCATTTTATTTTATTTCTTAAATATTACTGGAGTATGCATTAAAAAGATACTAATACATTTAAAGCCAGCAGCAGTGACACACACCTAATCCCAACTATCTGGGAGGCTGAGGCAAGAAGATCACAAGTTCAAGGTCAGCCTGAACAATATCTCACCAGACCCAATCTCAAATAAATATATATAAATAAAGAGTTGGGGATGTGATTTAGTGGAATGCACCAGGGTTCAATCCCCAGTATCACCAAAAAACATTTAAGAAATATGACACATTAAGAAGGCCTCTGTAAACAATCCTTTCTCAATATTTTTTTCCTATTCTGCTTCATACGTAAATAACTTAACCTATAAAATCATACATAAAACTATCAACTCTTATGGCCTAGAACTGCATACACATTTTGGAGTTTGAGAATAAATGTTCTCTTTGATTTATAGATAACATGCAGTATTTGTAGTGTTTAGTTTCATTCAAATGCTTATCACAAATTCTGATTGTCTCCCAACTTGTTCTGCTAATAGACCTTTTCAGTTTACTGGTAAAGATGCCATGAATTAAAAGTCATAATGGTCAAATAAATATTAGAAAAAAGCAGAGAAAGTGGCTACCTAATATCACTAAATCTTATTAAAACCACTTCAGCTTGTATGAACAACAAAAAACATTAGTGAAGAATGAATACCATTCATTTAAAAGGTATCTAACAAAATCTAAAATTTAGTCAACAATGAAATTAAATCCATGCAAAAAAAATTCCACTGAGATTCTGTTACAGAAACAGAACCAATAACATCCTAATTTTCTAAAATTTATTTTTGAATTATCATTTTGATGAGTTAAAACTTTAAGGGTAAATAATGACACAAAATGATTTTAGAAAGGCAAACTATAATTCCTGATACACATTTCACTAGTTTTTGTTTAATGACTAGAAATCCTTATTCCTTCAGAAAATATTACATATTCATTGAAACACCACTTATCTAGTGATTTATTATATATCTTCATCATATTTATTAGATAAGAATTCCAATTACTTTTATGTAATAAAAGTAAAAAGGAATTTTGCATGTTGGCTGTGTTTCACTTTATACATTATTTTTAGGCCTTTATAGGTTATAAAACTTAGAAAAACATTCCCAACTAATATTCTTATTCAATGTAAATGACTCAAACTACAAACAATACTAAGCTAAGCACTGTTATTTTAAAATCTAAGTTTCTAGAAGTTTTATTTTTCAGTCAATACAAAATGATCTAGTTCACACTATTAACTGCCCAAAACTGTTTAAAAAACTAAATATTCTTTGTTAAAGAGAAGATTACAAGAAATGTTTTCTATGTTCTCATTTTAAAAAACAAGATTCTGGTATACATGGGGAATTTAAATACAAATTCTTACATGGTGGCTAAAATCTTGTCAACTTTCAGCCTGATACAACATAATTCAACAGTTATTATGCATAAACAATTCAAAATTAAAGTTTATAATGGAAATGTCAACAAGTCATAACTATGTCACGTCAATACTGATGGGTTCCACTATACTTCCACCAGGCACAGCAGATGTGCACATCTGATAGACTGCTTAGAAAATTAAAGCTATCAGAACTATAAATAAGGAATACATAAATGTAAACATAGCAATGCCAAAACATTGGTCCTTAAAAAAAAAAATGATGCGATGCAAACACATTTGATAGTTCTCTCTGTAAGCCACTTTCCACTGATTTATAAAGCTATGGTTTTATAATTCTTTTTAAAAGGAAAATTTTTCTACACTGCTGCATGCAGTAATTTCACTGTACATTCTTGACTAAAATGCAATCTT